ATATATATATATATATATATATATATATATATATATGCTTACTGTATATACTTGACTTTAAATTGACCTCGTGTATAAATCAAGGGCAGGTTTTGAGGCTAAAATTATGGATTTTGATATGACTTGTGGATAAGTTGAAGGGCATATATCAAAACTTAAGGGCATATATCAAAGGCTCTAAAGAATGAAGCAAAGGAAAACAGTGCCAAAGAACTTACATAATGCTGACAGGCATAACTTTTTGTGCTCACACCAAAGGCTGGATGGATGAGAGAAGAGACAGGGATCAATGCTTCCAGGACAGATTACACTTTTTCCTTTTACCAGGGAATGGTTCCTTTTTAAAATAAGAGTTAAAGTACAGTACTTACATTGACCCATCAATGAATCAACTTGTATTTTTTTGGGGGGGGGCGTTAATTTTTTGACTAAAATTTCTAGACTTATACATGAGTATAGACAGTTATTTTGGAACAGTTGTATCTCTCTTGAGGTTCAGGGCAGGGAACATTTAAAAGAATGAGAAAATAACACCGAAAATAGGGACTGTGTAAACATGATGCTAGGAACATTTCTCTCTCCCTTAAAATGTTAGTATAAACAAAATGGTCTCCCGTTGCTTCCTGAAGACACGGGAGCTTCCTTGCTTGAATCCTGTAGCTTTACAGTGGGTTTACATCACAAACTGTCACAGAACAATGTTGCTATCAGCCAAACTCTGTATGGGGCTGCTCAGCTTGCATTTCATTGCTTATTTAGGGCAGGAAGAAACAGAGTTTGAATGTGTGTTCTCTGCTCAAAAATTGAATGCTAGTAGGAATGTCACATGCATATGCATTGGAGCCACTTGAACCATCACTAATAGTTTAGACAGTCACTTTCCTCTCAATAAGCAATATGATTTGTCTGCACTGAGCGGTAAGCAATGCACAAGTTATATTATGGACCTTATCACACGCTGGCCACGAAGCGAAAAGTAACCGAAATAAGAATAAATTCAGTTCTATACCGAAATGAACTGATTTCGCCTGCGCGGCCATTGCGCAATGATTCCGAAAGCTCTCTTGTACTTCCCCGAAAAACCGAATGCCAAAAAATCTCAATTCGTTACGGATTAGCTCCGGGTTCTGTCGAGTTTCGGTGCAACGTCGTGTGTAAACATGGGGAAATAATATGTATTAGCTACGGATACCCTTTGGATTAGGTCTGCTTTAGACCCCGTGTGATAAGGTCCTAAGAATTGTAAATGCTGCGTGAAGAAGATTCACAGAACAATGAGAGCTTTACAGATCTAGCTTGCTGAAACCTCTGTTATTTGGATACATGAAATTTACAATCCTGATCACGGTTGTATTTGAAGTCCCACTGAAATTACTAAGAACTTGTGTCCTTCAAGTCATTTCTGACTTACATCAACCCTAAGGCAAACCTATCATGGGGTTTTCTTGGCAAGATCTGTTCAGAGGGTTTTTTCCATTGCCTTACTTTAAGAGAGTATGACTTCACCTAAATCACCAAGTGGGTTTCCATGGCAAAAGGGGGATTCGAACCCTGGTCTTCTGGAGTCCTAGTCCAGCATTCAGATCCCTATACCACAGTGCTCTACTGAGAACTACTGATGCAGAATTGTTGTGTAATACTTCTTCTTTTAGGCTAAATATTTGATTGAATAGATAAATGTGCAATCCTGTATTCTTTACTGCTTTTACCAATTATACTATCTAATCACTAAGAAATGCTGCAAACTTTGTAGAAGTTAGTTATTAATTTACTCCAGGTTACTGGCTGCTTTTGCTACATCTGAAAAAGCTGCATAATTGCTGAATAGCGTGTCCATTCAGTATGTGTGAAGAAGGAGGGAGGCCCTTTCAAAATCATAAGCTTCCTATACTAGCAAGTACAAGAGCTTGTGGACTAAAAATCCCAGAATCTTTCAGCCATTGAGATCTGTAGCCATGCTGCCTGGGCAATTCTGTGAGTTGTGCTCCAATAAAGTAACTTTCCCATAAGTAGCACCTATTAAAAGGAAAACAAGGGAAGGGAGGGTAGGTGATGCAAGTACCGCAGTATAAATGGTGTACATTTGATGTGCCTGATTTTCACATAAAATACCCAATATTTTACAATTACGTTTCCCCTCCCCAAAGTGGAAAGTTGCTTCCATGTAGAAAAAGCATAAATGTGAAATGTTTGGAGGCTATTAACAGTTACTCCAAGGTAGTGTCACAGTCTGTGATCATTACTGAGGATTGAGTTGCAAGGGTTGATGATTTGTTTTTGACGTGGAGTCTGAATGTATTACAATAGCAATGTGGATGTTGCTGCTTATGAGAGAGCTGTATAAATGTGCATAATGTATTTGCATGTGTAATGATAGACGTTTGGAATGAAAAATGTGTTAGTAGTAAACTGCTGTCTCTTTGCAGGGTGATCAGACAGCTTTGCATCGAGCTACGGTTGTAGGGAACACAGATGTAATATCTGCTCTTATCCGTGAAGGGTGCGCCTTAGACAGACAGGACAAGGTAACAATGAAATAGTTTTAGTATTTTTAAACACGTAGTTAGAAACTAGTAAGAGTGTTAAACCATTGCCTAACTTGTTTGGGTCATTTGTGGTGGAACTTCCTAGTTCTGAATAGAATGCTAAAGACCCCGAGAAACTACAAAACCCTGGAAGGTGTTGTCAGATTGGTAAAACTCTGGTAATATTTATGTTAGTAATTAATTTACCTTTCTGTGTTTCAAACTGCAGTAGGCTTTCACATCTTGCCCAGCAGGATTCTTTTTTATCTCCTTTTGTACTATGCTGTTTTAGAAAAGCCATGCATGGCAAATATAATGCTGCCTATTCCTTGGCTATGTGTAACATATTAGAACCAAGTAGCAGTAGCATTGCCTGCTACTTATTCCTTGCTCCAACTTTGTATGCAGAAGTTTCTGTCTGGCTTAAGCACAGTTAAGAGTGGTATTAGTATTCATGTTTGTATATTTGTTAATGCTGACCAGAGTTTGCTCCTGGTGAGGATTTGGAACCAAAATTTTTAGATTACAAATCCTGGATATGAATGAACTGATGGCTGAATGATCCAGTAGAGTTCTTCTGTTGGCAGAAGGGCTTCTACCAGTGGGAGAAGGGCAGTTTCCTCTCCCTCCTGCAGCCTTCCTTGTACCCAAAAATCCTGCTCTAGTGGCCTGGGAAAACCTTCAGAGTAGGTGGTCAACACTATAGAGGGCTGCATACAGGAAACTCAATTTCTGCAGTTTTAAAACTCAAAATGTGCCTTTGGATTTAAGCCATTGTTAGAACTAGTAAGAAAAATATTGGTGCTGATACTATTTTTTACATACCTGCTAACTTTACTTAAAGTAAAATAGGTAGCACTTTACACCTTCCAGTATATTAACAACAGAGAACGGTCACCTGTCAGTTGGAGAGGCTGTAAAACAGAGAGGGAGACCTCCCGATATTGTTGGACTGCAGCTTCCAGAAGCACCGGCAATGGTGAGGAATGCTGGGTGCTGCATTTCAGCAACATTATTTGGAGAGCTACCTAGCTCCCACTCGCACTGTAAAAGTTATGGTGCATGGCTTCATAAGTTGCCCTTACTTGCAAGACTGGCCACCTCCTCACATGAGGTTCTCAGAGCCATTTCTCAAATTACCCCTTAAATTATTCATAATGGGAAGACTTTCAATATGAGAGGCTGAAAATGAAATCCCAAAGTCTAAAGTACTGATTAGGATACTTCTGGCAGCATCTAGATTAGAGATTGTGTCTTGCTGATAATCTCAGAGGGACACTATAAAAAAAGAGATGATGAAATTAAATTCTGGGCAAATATATTTTGCGCGTAATGTTTGTTTGTGTCTGTGCCTTCAAGTTGTCTGATGACTTACAATAAATTTTGTAGGGTCTACATAGGCAAGGGATGCTTGACAGTTTCTCTCTCTGAAATATAGCCCACAGCACCTACGGTAGTATTTTTTGTTAAGTCTCCCATCCATGTGCTAACCAGGGCTTGACCCTGCTTAGCTTCCAAGGTCAGGCAGGATCTGGTGCCTGAAGAGTATTAGGCCCTGAGCATGACATAGAGCAATAGAAAGGCTTTGTGGGTTTTTTCCTCTTGCAGCTGTAAAATGTATTACCGCTGGTTTCCCTGTCCCTCTTGTCCCTCTTAAGTGTTTGATTTAAAGTGTTTATTGTAATTATTCATCTTCATTTTTTAAAAAAATCAATTTTTTGCCCCGAAGTGCCCTCTAGTGGGCAATTTCACTTTTTTGGGCTTCTTGGGCCTGTGTAATACCCATGAGAGGTCACTTTCCAGTGCAATTCCTATCCCTTGGCTACAAATGGCACAGGGAAACCTAAAAACAGAGGGCATTTGGGGGCATATTTTTTCAACAAATATTTTTTGGACTCTAGGAGGAGGGTCATGGGGGGACACAAAACCAGCCCTGGGATCCCACATCTACCCCATGGGCCCACAATTTTCTGACCCTAATTTACAATATTACAATAGAGGGAAGGGAGGATTTGCCTATGAGAAGAGAAAAAAATAGAACAGTGGATATGAGATCCCCTTTGCCGATTTTTAAACTTTACCACAACCAGATTTGGGTGTCTTCTTTCTGTTTGTTTCTTTTCATGTGTCCAAACAGCTGTATGATGCTAAGTGAGTAGGATTGGCATATTTACAATGTTTTCTGCATGGCAATAGTTCTCTTAAGGGCTCTTTTCCCCCTCTGTTTGCTTTTCAGGATGGGAATACAGCTCTCCACGAAGCCTCTTGGCATGGATTCAGTCAGTCGGCCAAACTGCTTGTTAAAGCAGGGGCGAATGTTCTGGCCAGAAACAAGGTGAGACGCCTGCAGAAAAGAGCTTTCAAATTTGGCAGTTCAAAAGAAAAAGAAAAGAACATGAAAATGTTCCTTCAGTCGTTTTTTGGCAGTGACATTTCTCATCAAATGGCCATGTGTTTCTTGGCAAAACACTTCATTTTATTTTAACTGGCCGTTTGTAATTTATTCCCTTGTGATGAAGTTTCCGTGTGGGAAAATGTGTGTTTTGACAGCTGGCACACACATACACTCAAAAAAGGAGCTCAGTTGTACTGAATCATGTTGCATAGTTATGGCCATGGGACACTAGAAAGCCTTCTAGCATCTTAATTGTGATGGAAGGGATTCATAGGATATAAGAAAATGAATAGCAATACAAATCCAACTTATGAGATGCAAGATAACCAATTTTTTTAAAATGGCAAAACCAGGGGGAAATGCCTGTCTACTGTAAGATTTTCATATCTCAAACATTAAAAGAAGATCTTGTCAAAAACTATTGAGGAATTCCTGATATTTCCAGCTCCTTTCCCACCCTTTCTGTTTCCTATACAGTGGGCCCTTGTTATCTGCTGGGGTTTGGTTCCAGGACACTCCCTCCATGGAAACCAAAATACATGCTCAAGCCCCATTAAATACAGCGGTATAGTAAAATGATGTCCCTTTTATAAAATGGCAGAATCAAGGCTTGCTGTTTGGAATTTACACTTTTTAAAATATTCTCAGGCTGTGGATGCATGAGTAAATAATCTGTGGATATGGAGGGCCAGCTGTATTATATTATAGGACATGTGTTACAGGACTATACAGCCACTCTTTTGTTTTCACGGACTTGGAGTCTGTGTCCCAGGTGGCAAACGGAGGGGGACAAAATGCGGGCGCCCATGACCCACGGGTGACCAAAGGTGTGTGCCGCCATTCAAGCCAATGGGGCGATTTTCCATTTTTGTGGGGTGGTGGTCAGGAATGGATCCCCCACAAAAACAGAGGGGCGACTGTATAAGAAATACATTATGAGATGTTTCCTTTCCCAAGAGGCATATCAATATATTTGTGTGTGTTTATGTGTGTAGGCTTGCACTCAATACTTTATAGAGTAGAAAATCCCTTCTCCTAAAGAGCTTATAGTAATTTGATACAGGGGAAATGATAGAAGAAGGGGATGGTAGTGGAGCTGGGAGCAAACGTAACATTATAGAGTTGTTTCACAGTTACATTTGCGTAGGCTTGGTTATAGGCAGAATGGCAAGAGGGAACTAGGTAGCATCATGGACTATTCCACAAGGCCTTTCCAAATATACAGGGCAGGAAGGAGGGAAAGGGAGAATGTTTGAGGAGAAAGAAAAAAAGATCACAGGCAGAGATAATGTTAGGATAAGAGAGGAGAGAATTAAGCATAGGGTTTGCTTCTCAGGATCTGTTCAGAGGCGGTTTGACATTGCCATCCTCTGAAGCTGGGTGTGAGCTACTTGTTCAGGCCACTCAGTGGCTTTCCATGGCCAAGTTGGGATTCAACCCCTGGTCTCCTGAAATCCTGTTCCAACAGTCAAAGCACTACACCCTGCTGGGACCCTGGTGCATCTCCAGAAATGAACAGTAGATGGGGGAGCTTGACCAAAACCCCTCCACTTGCTCTTGTGCAGTTGGGACAAGACATGTTGTATGAGGAGGTGCAGGATATCTCCTTCTGCAACATCCTTAAAAGTGTAATTGGGGGTTATGCTGGTGTATGTCACCTATATAATCTTGGCCATTATGTC